AGCTATATTTCAAAAATCTACACCAATTTCTTTTTTTCGCAAACTTGCTACATATACTGAAAATAAATTTATAGAACTCAACAGTGTTGATACTAACAATTCTCGTAAAAGCTACTATTTTTATAGCTACCTTAATGCTTACCTCCAAGCTGCAGCTTAGAATAATCAAATTAACAACATGCACTCTCAACAAGCTATTGATAAAATCACTACCAAGCCAATTAAAACAGATTATCTCGCTAGAGTTCTTACTTATTTCCATATCCTAAAATCTTACAAGCTATCCATTGCAAAAATCACAAAAATCTATAAAAAAACATGCTTTCCTCGTGCTCAAAGCATCATACACACTAAATTTAAAATCTGCTTTAAGATTTCTAAAATTTCACCAGATATTTTCTTCAATCCTAACTCTACCAACCCATCCAAAACTCCTAATCCTCAGCAACCAGAAAATTCAAACCAAACTCTTTCTGAAACTAATGAGAACCAAACACCACATACTAAAGATCCAGAAGACAATGATGTCATTATAACAGATTCAAATAATGATGACAATGCTAATACTAATGAACCTAATAGATCTCAACAAAACTCTGATCCTAATACTAAATCACAGCAGGAGCCTTTGCTTGTTACTACTCTTTCATACAACCCTTTTCAATAATTTCTTCTGTAGAACCTATTGATGCAGCCATCGCTTCTAGTAAAATAATATTCTCTACTTTTAGTAGACTATTTCTAGAAGAGAATAATGTAAGTAGACAGGTGGACAAGTTCATTTATGTGAAGAACCAAGTTATTAGTCAGACTCAACATACAGAGCAGATTTTGGAAATCTGCACAGCTGTGAAAACCGAGCTTAAAATGGCAAGCGACCCTACAGAAGAAATACAACAATTCAAATCATTACCAACATCTCTAGACTCCTATGATTTGGATATTTGCTATAACAAATACTTACTTCATTATAAACTTCCTCTCCTAAATAGACCCTAAACTATTCAATCCTTTTATTCTTACCTGGATATTCATGCCCCATACCTTAAAAAATATACTGTTATTTCATTAACTAAAGATAAAAAAGAAGCACATATTTACTTACTATATGAAAATGAATTATTACTGAATCATATTCTACCACCTACAGTTGATATAGCTAAACACACTTTAACTCTTAAATTATATACAAATACTTCATTAACCTCACCACCAACAATTTCTTAACTAATTTCTGACAAATTTGAACCCTTATCTATAGATCATCTTCTTCTTTCCAAAATCCTAGTAGAACTACACAAATATCACAACAGCCTAATATAACCCTGAATAAATCTAATTCTAATACCAATACTTATCTAAGCAAGTCTATCCCTAATCAAGCACTCAACCTATCTATATGTACACATAATGTATGATGATACAATATCAACCTCAAGCAACAAGTTTGGAAAGACTTTTGCCTTTCTAATAATTTAAATATCATCAGTATTACTGAAACCAAAATAGCTGATACAAACCC